TCATTTTTTAATAAAAAAGTAACGCTCAACTTTAAAAAGTGACAGTTGGTCACTTTTTCAGCATAACTTTTTTTGTAAAAACATGATTACTGGTGCTACACAAATAAATAGTGCTATTTTGGTATTTGTCGCCTTTTTTTATTTTTGTCATTTTTTTGAGTTTGTGTCACTTTTTTTTTAAAAAAAAGTGACATTGTGTCACTTTTCATTTTACACAGTATTTTTTACTTCCTAAAAACTTTTCGTATGATTTTTCAAAACATCACTAATTTTAAGTGTATTTTTGTAAGTACTCCTAGTGATTATTGGGGCTAATACCCAACTATTCAATTTCCTGGACTAGCCCAGATGAACTGAAACATTCACCGAGGGGAAAACTACATAATTCCAGGTGTTTGAAGTTTGAAATTCAATAATCAGGGACCAAGTTTTATTATTCAAAAGTCAGGTACTATATGTTAAAACCCTTACCATAATTTATCACTCACTCTCAACTTCCTCGCCTCTCTCTCTCGCACGCCTCCTCTCCCCTCTGTGTCTGTCTCCGCTTCCCTCATTTTCCTCTTCCTCTCCCCACCATCTCACTCTCCCCTCCCCTCCTCTTCACTCTCTCTTATCCCTTTTTCCACGCTCTTTGCCGTCGGTCCTATTGCAACTATCATCGCAGCTTTGCCGGCGAGACACCACCGCTGCAGATCTGCTACGGCGACGCACAGATGCTGTTGATTACACCCCATTTTAGCTGATATGGGGTGACGATGCCGCGATTTCTGGTGGTGGGTAGGTGTGCTACGGTGTTGCTCAAAGATCTTTAGAGCGACTGTGGTGACGGAGCCACGATTTCTGGTGGTGGGTATGCGTTGTGGTGTTGCTCGAAGATGTTTAAAGAGACGTGTGGTTTTCAATAGTGGCGAAATGGAGGTGTAGTGGCGGTGTTGTGTCGGGGTGTGGTGGTGGTGGTGAAGCTGGTTGTAGTGGTAAATGCGGAGATGTTCCGATTGCAGACGTCACCGCAGCTTCGAAGC